ACCCGCTGAAGCGCAAGATCTCGCACGACGAGGTCATCATGGCGCTGCGGCGCAAGGTCATGAGCAAGGGCAACCCGCTGTACCAGCACCGGCCTGGACAGCAGCAGAAACGCGGAGCTGGCTCGTTTGCGAAGCCGCAGGTGCCGGAGCCGGCCAAGGCTAAGGCGAAGGACGCCGAGTCGAGCCAGCCGGCGCGCGGCTCGGCGCTGGCCATCTCGACAGATGTGTCGGCGGCGGCAGCGCTGGGGTCGTCGTCGTCGTCGGATGAGGAGTCTGACGATGAGGCCGATGCAGACGATGAGGGCGCGGCGGCGTCGAACGAGCACTCGCCGGATGCGGTGAAAAAGCCTGCGGAGAAGGCTGCAGAGAAGGCTGCAGAGAAGGCCGCTACAAAGAATGCCGCTGTCAAGGCACACACCCGGCTGCCGTCCATCTCGGTAATCACAGAGGGCGTGGAGGCAGCCGCGGGCAACGGGCAGAAGGAGGACTAAGAGTGCTGTGGGTTTAGACCAATCCCTCTCCCCTTTTTACTACTCCTTTCAAAGACAAAAATTCGTAATCACGCAGTAGCATCTGACCGCACCAGGAAAATTGGCCCGAACCGGTCCGCAGACCGGTTGGACTGTGACGCGTCAGTGATTTGCATGGCGCTCATACTGGCGTCTTGTTTTGCTTTTTTTTTTCTCTCGCAAAGTATAAAGGGAGGGTTGGCGATCTGCGAGTAATACTGGATAGCAGAATGACATGGCCACGGGCAGAATGCGTCTACAATGTCGTCGCCACACATTCTCGTCCCCCAAACAAAATAATTCCCGCATGAATGAAAAGTCTGTTGAGCGGCAACAATTTCTACCACGATTGCAGAAGGTCAGACTGGGACGTCATGTAGACGGGGTGTATATGCGCTGTTTGGTGCGATTGGCGTTCCTTGTTGCGGGTGGCGAAACTCGCTTGGTGCCTGTGTTTGTTTCGGGCTGTAGGCGGACCGGCGCAGGTAAGGATTTTGAAGGATTCACAAACACGCACTCTTTGCGCCGGAAGAAAAAAGCCAGTTTTGCCTCCCCTTTCTCCCCGCTTCTTCATTTCTTCTTCTTTCTCACACCTTTCTTCTTTATATTCTCTTTAATTTTGCAATTTTTCATATCCCCATACACCAAGCGCTTTTCGGACCCTTCCTGTTGACTCAGAGTTTGGCTCGGCTCTTTCATTGTACGACATTGAGAAACCGACACATCGGACTGGAGAAATCGGATATGGACAGCAACGGTACGGTTTGTTTTTTTTTTTTCTTGGAAGCGGACCTCCGTCTTTGTCAATGCGGCAAACAAAACAAAGCGCCTGGCATCCCCCGGATGGACCTTTTGTATTCAGCGCTGCACTTTTTTCCTCCTCGTAGGTGATGCGCTCGTGCGCATCGTCGTTAGCTCGGATGGAGTTCCGGAGGACGACTATGTAGCAACGCAGCCAGATTCATGGCTATTACTACGGGAAAAGGCAGCATTCCCGCAACTACGGCTGGTTCCGGGCATACAGACTCCGCAGCTGACATTCACCACCACCACGCTCCCAGCCGGCCTGGGGCTGGTTCCTGCATACACGCCCCAACACACGCTCACTGCCAGCTTCCATTTACTGCTCGCCGACCCGCCTGCACAGATTGGGGTCTCGGCCAAAATCGGCGAGAGAGAGACGACAGAATGGCAGCCGGCAGAGAGGGACGGGGAAGCATATGTGGTGAAGTGGACAGCGGCCGAGGCGACAGACAGCCTGGTGGCGGTGCGCCTGCTGGTCAGGCACGGTGACTTGGGCGACGAACGCCAAGTCGGTCAGTTCAGTGTATTCGTGAGCATGCGAGAGCCGGCGGATATGCCGATTGCCGACCCCAACGACGAGAGCAGCTCCGTGGCGACCCCGGACACAGCACACGAGCAGCCACACACGTACTATAGCCTGGTGCGGTTCAACCGGCAGCGGGTGTCAGCGCAGGGAGACGAACCGCAGGAGACCCGCGAGCCACACCCGCTGCTGAGCAAATGGATAGCCGAGGACAGCCCGGCGTTCCGCGCAGCCATCCACTCCATGGAGGAGCAGGCGCTGGCGAACCGCAGCAAATACAAGGAGCTGTCGCGCAGCTCGGCGCTTTTGCACGAGTCGTATGTCGGGTTCATGCGCAGTTTCGCCGAGGCCACGGGAACCCTGGCCAGCCTGCCGGTGTTCAAGCCATTGCATAGTGCGTTTGTCGAGCCGCTAAGGCGCGATCTCGAGCGCGTGCTGGGCACGGTGTGCGCGCAGTGGGACTCGCTGGTCGCCGACCGCGCCAAGCGGCTCTACGAGAACACGTTTAGAAGCCTGGACGCGCGGCGGACCGAATTCGACGACGCATCGAACCACTACTACGACGAGCTCGGCAAGCACCTGAAGGCCAAGGCGTCCAGCGAGGATGCGAAGCGCGACCACCTGTTTGCCCGTCGCCGCAGCTCGTTCGATCTGGCCAGGTGGACGTACTTTGCGGATCTCTGGAATGCCTCTGGCGGCTGGGGCGAGTTGGAGCTGCTGGCGTCGACGGTGCGGTGGGCACGCATGGTCAGCAAGGTCCATCACGGGACGTCGCAGATGGCTGAGGACGGGCTGGTCGCCTGGTATGCGGGCAATTTGCCGGCGCTGATGAGCGAAATAAGAATGGAGCGGGCCGAGGCCGACGAGTTCCGGGCGTCGCTGGAAGGCAGTAGGATGGCGGCCGACGAGGCGTCGGAGGACTCGGCAGAGTTTGTCCGGGTCACCCACGAGTCGCCGGCGGCCGGGGACAGACGCAAGATCAATCTGCTGCGGCTGTCGGCGGTGCAGCCACCAGAGAGCCTGGGGGAGCTTGCCCCGGCACTGCCACCCATCCCAGGCACCATCGATCTGGAGGCATTGGGCGGTCATGCAAACGGCCTTGCAGCCCGGCGGTCCATGGACCAGCCGCGCAGCCACACCGGACCAGCAGCAGCGGGCTCGCAGGATCCTGCTCGCAAGCCCCTGCAGCCTGCCGCCAGCGACGGCTCGCACGAAGGGTTCCTGTTTGCGCGGACCAGCAACAAGCACCACACGACAACAAAGAACATGATGGCAACCAGCAACAGCGTGTGGAGGCGGTACTGGTGCGTGGTGAAGGACGGGCGGCTGCAAAAGTACACGCACTGGAAGTCGGTCGGCATTCCGGAGCCGCGCGGCGAGCCCGTGGAGCTGCGTACGGCAACAGTGCGGGCGCTGGCGCCCGACGCAAAGCAGAGCAGCAAAAGACGGTTCTGCTTCGAGGTCATCACGCCCAGCTACTACGGCGTCTTTCAGGCCACCAGCGACCAGGACCTAAAGTGCTGGCTGGATGTACTGCGGCGCGCCATCGAGCTCAGTCTGCTCAAGGGCCTGGCCAGCATGCGCCAGGCGCCAGCCTCCCAGACAAAGCCACTAGGCGACGACCGCGGCAGCCCAAAGTCCCTAGCGCGCGGCAGCCAGGCGTCACACACATCGGAGTCCCTGGCAACAATATCGACCGGCGCCGGGCAATCGCCGAGCATGCGCGCATCGGCGGTGCTTGGGTACGAGGCGCTGGGACAGCTGACAGGGTTCGATGCCAGCCGACGCATGTCGCTGACCGGGCTCCTGCCGATGCTGCAGGATGCGGATCCCGCCAACCACCTGTGTGCTGACTGCGGCAGCGAGTCGCCCGAGTGGTGCTCACTGAACCTTGGCTGCCTCGTTTGCATCGAGTGCTCGGGCATCCACCGCAGCCTGGGCACTCACATCAGCAAGGTGCGCAGCCTGACTTTGGACATTATCTCGTTCAAACCGGCCACTATCGCATTGCTGCTGCGCACCGGCAATGCCCTGAACCACACAGTGTTTGAGGCCCAATGCCACCGGCCGGCCCCGCGGCTCCAGAAGCGACAAGCAGGAGTTCATTCACGCAAGTACGTATCCAAGGCGTTTGTCGACCGCCAGTGGGTGGCCGAGGGGCTGCTGGCGGAGCGGCTGCAGGAGATGGTAGATGCCAATCCTGATATTGGCGAGCTGTTCCCGTGGACCCGCAAGTCGGCCACTGCATTGCTGTTTGCTGCAACAACGCTCGGTGACCTGCATGCGGCGATGCGGGCGCTGGCGCTGGGTGCCGACACCAATGGCTCCATGCACGTGCCTGGAACGACGGTGCGGCGGTTGAAATGACGCTGCTGCAGGGCCGCACTATTCGGTGCCAGCCAGATCAGCAGCGTTCGGGCCATGGCGCTGCGGCCGAGCGCTCCACCGTCACCCACACCGAGATCGCCGAAGTCCTGGTGCTCAACGGAGCCGCTGCGGCTGCTGCCGATGTCCAGGGCTTGACATGCCTCCATATAGCCTGCATGCTGGGCAGCCTCAGCATCACGCGCTACCTGCTCGACAAGGGTGCCGACCCGCAGATGCCTTTTGATGGCAAGCAGCCGCTGGACTTGCTGCCTGCTGACGAGCCCAGGAATGCAGGATCTCAAGGCGGTGCTGGAGGTGGCTATAAGGAAGGTGCAAAGCCGTGGGTGGCTCGACATGTCCGCTGAGTCGTCCAGTGGGCCTGGAAACAGGTCACTGCGGCGCATGAGCAGCTACTCGCATTCCAAATCCGCCGTCTCCAGCGACTCGCCCGACCGATCTGGCAAAACCGACGGCTCGGTGTTCTCTCAGGCTGCGCGCAAATTCACGCAAACCCTCAGTCCGGCTGCCATGGGACGGGTCAGCGTGTCTACCGAGCGGCCCAGCCTTTTGGAGCTCAACGAGTCGGCCCAGAATGCCTCGGATGGCTCGCGTCGTTTGTGCCGGGCAGGGCAAGGCGGGCAAGGCGCCTCACGCAGGGATCCGCGAGCTCAGCAGCAAGCTGGCTGGCGCCAAATTGCCGGCGATGAAGGTCGAGCCGCTGAGCACAAAGTCCTTGCTGATGCTAAGCGCGTGTCGCTGCCGCCGCTGCTCAGCCCGAGCCCCGACCCGCGCATCTCGTCTGACTCGCATTCGCTCCACCAGCAGAGCCTGACAGCACCGGCTACACGCGAGGATGTTGGCGAGCTGCCGCCGGTACCCGGATGCGGCATGTCTATGCGACGCCCAGCAATGTGTCTCTGCCGACGGTCGCCAGCGAGTCGTCAATCGAAGATGCAGTGATTGTCGATATTGAGTCGACCGTCGAGGCCCACGCCTGTGATCAGCGCCGTGACGGTGAGCACCAGCGCCGTGACGCCCAGGAATGCTGCCAGCGAATACGAATGCATCTGCATCCGAGGCTCGCAGCATCAACGCCCTCGCACCCGCCACTGCCAGTTGACCTGCCGCCTCTGCCTCGCTTCCCTCAGCCGCCGCAAACCCGGCCTGTCACGCTCAGCGACAGTGGCGGTGTCGCGCAGCCGCAACAACCTCAAACAGCGACACCGCATCGATCAGTCCGCGAGGAGAAATCCGCTCTCTCGCGCAGCAGCAGCATCCGGGCACTGCGCCCGCAGGCGCACAACGGATGGAAGTCCATTAAGAATGACTTCGAAGGGGCTCGCTGTGGTGGGCTCGCCCAAGAGTGCTGCCAGTGTAAAGCCGGATGCAAAGCCAGTATTGCAGGACAAGAGTTTGGCCACGCGCCATCGACCGAGCGCTTTGTGCGCAAGGCTCCAGTACTGAAGCGCCGGAACCGGAACCCTGGTGCCGCATCGGTCGTCGGATGATGTAACAGGCGGACCGATGTACGCCTGGCGGCTAAGCAGACTGGTGATGGAAAGCGCTTGTTTAGGCTGATTTCAAGCCATCCAAGATCACCTTCAATGGCATATTCAGCCGTAGCGAGAAGAAGTTCATCCCATTTCTGTCTGTGTTTTTGTATGTTTAATTTGTCTTTTTTCGCGTTCTTTCTGTAGTTTTTTTTTCTTTTTTGAATCAACCCAACCCCACCCCCGTTCACCAACGACGCATGCTATACATATACATTGTTTCTTTAGATGCAGTCAGCAAACAAGCACACATAGATATCACAGCTGATACTGCATGTGCTGATTTGAATCATGTCACCATATGTGCTATTTTTCGGACAGTCACCACCTACTGTTTCTGGGCAGTCAGGGGTGTTTCTTGGTATTCATGTCTATTTTTCGAGCACTAGCAGTAGATGTATTTTCATGTGGGTGAATGTTAGCTCTACATGTAGAGAAATAGTAATTTGTGGAAAAAGTGCTTCAGTCTTCCCCACTGCGCTTGGTTGCCAGTTTAAATAGCGAGTCGTGTGAGGACTCCTATTTTCTCTTACAAGTACAGCCATTCTCTCAATATTTCCTTCAAATGTCTACCAGTGACCACTGTCTGCCTATTTCGCATCTTTTCAAATGTATGTGGTGACCTGGACTACACAGCACACAGCAGTACAATGTGCCGGACCGGACTGTGCGCCAAGTTATTTCGTTGATTCAGCACCAGCTGCCATCACAGAGGATACCTGGCAAATGCATGTCCTCGGTGCGCACGCTTGCATGTTCGGTTGTGTTTCCAGCGTGCCACGAAAGCGACAGTTTGCCCAGCTATTCTACGCTGCTGAGAGGCGTTGCTTACACGTGCAACACGGATGTCGAGAGTCTGTCAGACAACATCCTCTGTGCCCTTTCACATAAGCCAATGCCCCGACAGTCTGCTGCTAGTTCTGTTGATTGGATGGCTTCTGTAGATGCTGCGATTGACGTGTTCTCCTGCGGTGTTTGGGCTGGTTGCTGTAGGCTTGGCTACATATTTCGCTCGCTGGTGGACGCGCGTGCTGGCACGGGCGGTTTCGCTGGCTACGCATAATGAGATGCAGCAGGCGCAAGAAGCTCCGCTGCT